TCGCACATGTTCAGCAGGGGTTGTGGCTGTGTTTTTGTTTTTTAAAAGAAATGCTCTAAAAAAAAAAATCTGTATTTCCTGTATTTAATTAAGTTGTTACATCTCCAGTTCCAGAACTGTTACTTTACACTCTTGTCAGCTGGTGAGGCCATGCATCTAGTGAAATACTCAGTGGCAGCAGACTAGTTAATCTAATTACTCTGAAGTAAAGAGTGTGAAAACAAAAGCATTAATTTTAATTTTGTGCTAATTCATAGTCATCTTGGCCTTTATTTCCTTCCTGTTTTGTTTGGGTTTATATAAATGAAAATTTGTCAGTCTGTAAATTTTTGCATGGTTTCAGTTTATATGCAAAATGCGTTTATGAAAGGCAAGAGAAGAGGACTGATGTGATAACTACATTAGATGTGTGTTTATGAATTAAGTCATTGTGATGGTAAATTCTGCTCTGTGTTATTCAGTGCAAAAAGTTATGCAAGGACAGTGCTGGGTTTTTTGGTAATTCTGCACCTTTGTTGGCCTGTCTGTGCAAATCCACTTTTGTTTTAAACAGACCCAGTTTAGACTTAGAAGTTTTCTTTTGGTGAAGTGACAGCTGTTATTACTATTCATGTTTGCTCTTCCTGAGTGAGTTTAGGTCACTCAAACTGTGTGTTTAGAGGACTGTTCTCTAGTGATTGTTTGGATGCACTTTTCTCTTGGATCTTCATGTGACATTTTGGCAATGGTGGCTGGTGAAAGTATTTGAGCAATATTTCAAGAGACTTGTTGACTGAGTATATGTTGTTAAGCCTGGAGAAGAGAAGGCTCTGAGGAGACCTCACAGCACCTTCCAGTACCTAAAAGGGCTCTGAGAGAGCTTGGGAGGGACTTTGGACAAGGGTGTGTGATGATGGGATAAGAGGGAATGGCTTTAAACTTAAAGAGAGTAGGATTATATATATTGGGAAGTTCTTTCCTGTGAGGATGGTGAGACACTGGCACAGGTTGCCCAGAGAAGCTGTGGCTGCACAATCCCTGAAGTGTTCAAGGCCAGGCTGGGCGGGGCTTGGAGCAGCTTTGGAGCAACAAGGTGTCCCTGTCCATGGCAGGGGGGTTGGAATGAACTGATCTTTAAGATCTCTTCCAACCTAAACTATCCTATGATGTTATTTCTCTCTCTCTCTGTCTCTTTGTGTATATATATGTATGTTAAGGCTGCTTTATGTAGGTCCCAAATAATATGAGTCAGCTTGCAGATTTTGTGATTTACTGTTATTGGCTAGATGTATATCCTGTATATTAAATTCACGTTTTAGGAGCAGTGGAATTTCAATTTTTATACATCTCTCAGCTTGCTCTTGAATAAGTAGATGGGTTATACAGACATCTCTTTGATTGTAGTAGAGTCAGTGTGAGTTAGTACTACTTGGTTATTTCAGGATGGCTATGGATGTGAAGGAGGGCTATGAAATGAAAGTCTGCCTGGATGTCTTACTGTGGTGAGAGGGATGGGCCTGAACCTGATGAAAAATGACTTAAAATTTGTTTCCCTTAACTGAGATCTCTTTTGTTCTGCTGATTCATACGGAACAAGTACTGTTTTCTGTTGTGACTCTTCAGTGTAAAAGACATTGAGATTGCAGGAGATGCTTTAAAATATATTAATGATTATATACACATTTTAATATGCATTTTTAATCATACACTTGATTGTAATATTTTACTTACGGGGAAAAGAATTTATAAAAGCTGGACCTCTTTGGATATAAACTCATAATTACCAGTCCAGATAGTGTTAATCAGAAGTTATCTTCTTTCTGGAGTTCATGATTAAAATACAGCACACTGAAATAATCTGTGACCTAATCTGAACATCTGAATTCATTTTGTAGAATATGGCAAACAGCTGCATTTCAGTTTGGAGTTAAAACAAATACAGTATATCGACCCATTGAAGATTACTGTAGGCTTTTCAGTTCCATGATAGCTGTACTTATTGAAGAAAATTGATTTGAGAGTGCTTCTGCTTTTGAATGATTTTTTTTTCTTTTTTTTTTTTAATGTCCGGAAGAAAGGAAATAGAACATACGGAGGATGAGACTTTGATGTGTAAAGAAGTTAATTATCTAAACCATCAAACAAAACGTGGGCTGTGGAAGTAATTATTGTAAAGGGTCTGATGAAGCCTGACAAGCTGTTGGTTTTTAATGTCAAGAAAATGCTGTACACCTGCTTGATTTGAAAGTTAAATCGTTGGGTTGCAATAGGAAGATCAAGTTTTTAGTGAAGCAATAGCCAATAAGCTTTCAGCTTTCAAGCCTACTGATACTTACACACATCTACAGCCCTGCAAGTGTTTTTTAATTAAACTGTTCTTGTCCACTTGGAGGGCAGGAATCTAGGAAAGGATTTACCCCAAATCAGGACTTGCATGAATCACAAATCTTACACTATGAGGAGGCAACTGTGGAATTGTCCCAAGGTTTTTGGGAATTTTGGGAGAATGCTTCTTAAGTTAGTAGAAAAGAACCTCATGGATAAAGTAAAATATCTGTTATGGATGGTCAAAGGAAATAGCCATATATATGATACTAAATTATATTAGTTTTAAAAACCCCTACACTTAAAACCCCCTTAAGTCTTTGTATGCTGTTCAGTTTTTAAACATTTTTTTTTGTTTTTAAAATTAACTAATTTGACTGTTTAGGTTATATGACTCTGGTAATTGCTGATTATGACAACACTGAAGCCTAGTGTGTAACTACTCATATGATTAAAATCAGACTTTAGTGGGAGCAAACTCGTGATTAAAGTTACACATGTGCATAAGTGCTTGCAGGATGGGGACCCAAATTAGAATCTGCTTGAAGATGAACAGAAGTCTGTGAAAATCTACTTGAAAGCATTAATAAAAATAAGTAAACTTATGACACCAAGTTGGGTGGGAGTAGGGAGGCTGTACAGAGGGATCTGGACAGGCTGGATCAATCAACCAAGGCCAGTTGTGTGAGGTTCAACAAGGCCAAGTCCTGCACTTTAATCACAATAACCTCGTGCAGTGCTGGGGGCAGAATGTTTGGAAAGCTGCTTGTTGGAAAAGGCCCTGGGGGTGCTGGTTGGCAGTGGCTGAACATGAGGCAGCGTGTGCCCAGGTGGCCAAGGAGGCCGATGGCACCTGGCCTGTGCCAGCAATAGTGTGGCAGCAGGACCAGAGCAGTGACTGTCCCCCTGTGCTGGGCACTGGTGAGGCCTCACCTTGCATCTTGGGTTTAGTTTGGGCCCCTCAACACAGGAAGGATGTTGAGGTGCTGAAATGAGTCCAGAGAAGGGCAACGGAACTGGGGAAGGGTCTGGAGCACAAATCGGATGAGGAGCAGTTGGGGGGCTCATCCTGGAGAAAAGGAGACTTGGGGGGAGCTTCTTGCTCACTACAACTCCCTGACAGGAAGGTGTAGCAAGGTGGGGATTAGGCTCTTGTCTCAGGTAACAAGTGACAAGTCAAGAGGAAAGAGCTTCTAGTTGTGCCAGGGGAGGCTTAGGTGGGACATGAGGATGTTTCTTCATGGAAAAGGTGGTCAGGCATTGGGATAGGCTGCCCAGGGAAGTGCTTGAGTTCACCATCCCTCGAGGGGTTTAAAAGACATGGGACATGGTTTACTCGTGGACTTGGCAGTGGCAGGTTAATGGTTGGAATCAATGATTTTAAAGGTATTTTCCAACTTAAACCATTCTATGATTCCACCTAAAGCATGAACGTCTTATTTTTCATCGTTTGTCCAGCTACTCTTGTGTCATTAGCTTTTCAAAGCACACATTACTTTTTGAAGGTATGTTATGACTTGTATTTAGACTATTATTTCTTCAACCAAAGCAGAATATTTGGGATTGATTGCAATGCTTTTAATGACATTTAATATAAATCTAGTCCTGTACTTTAAGATTGCTTTTTAGAAAGGTAATCTATCTTAACCTTTGAACTTTAAAATGGAGGAAGGTAGGATCTCTTACAGCACAGCAAACTATATCAACTTATATTTTATTGTCATTACTACTGCTACAACTAATAGTACAAGAAATGAGCAGTACAACTCAACTGTTACTAGTGTGCAACAAGCTAGAAGAGGAAGAAATGTAGTGGGAATATATCCTGTTTATCGGGAGACTTACACAATGTGCAGGTTTTTGTTAAAACATTAAGGGAAAGATGAAACTCCCTTTTACATATTTATGGAGTTTTCCATAATTCAATTTTGCTTAGTCAGTGTTTTAGTAAATTAAGTATTTTTTAAAATGAAATAGTTCAAAGGCGTTTGACTTGCATATTATTAAAGAGGAAAATGTAGATGAACTAATTACTTCATAGAATAAGAGTAAAATTATACTGCGTTTGGTTTGGAGTTTTTGAATGAGAAATTTATATAGAAAAGCTGTAATCTATTTTGAGTAAGTGTAGTCCCTTCAGTCCTATAACTATTATGGTGTTCAAGTCTTACTCTTTTTTTAATGCATTTCCATTTTAAGTAGTGTGTGTACATAAAGCTGGTGTTTTAGAAAGGAAGGTTGTGATGTCTATACTCGTTAAGTTTTAGCTTTTTCTGAGAATCTCTTTTGCTCCTGTTAGTTCAGTGGAGATGGTGTGGGTGTGAGTCACTAATGGTGAGGATACTGCAGGAATATAAGAGGATGGTTTGGGTAGCAAGATACTGATGCCTGTGACTACCATCTATTCCAGAATAGCAGTGTTTTTATCTTAATGCTTCTCCACTGGTGCTCCTAGAATACTTTTAATTGGTATTTCAGAAATAGTGCATGTTTCCAACACTTTGCTTACTCTAAATATCAACTCTTACATTTTCTGCAGTGTCTCACATGGGATTCTCTTCGCATGCAGAACCTTTGCCTGCAATTCTACCCCAAATAGCTTTTATTCCCTTCTGAATATGTAGTGTGAAACCTACGTGTGCTCTCTTGGAAATGAAATACAAGTATTAAGTGCTGTTATTTCTTTGTTTACTCAGATGAGCAGCACTGTGGCCAGCCCAATGTCAACAGTTGTCTCTTCAGGCAGTGGAAGAAAATCGACCAGCTTTACTCCTGAATTGCAGAGTATGATGTGAGTAACCAGTCAGAATATCTGGTAACGTCTGCCTTGTGTATTCATCTTTCAGATGGCTTCTTGGAATGTGTAAATAAGGGTGATGAGGGGAAAAAAGAGCAGGTATTAGTGATGGAGCTGTTAGTATTTTACTTCTGATTTGTAAAACATTCAGAGGTGACTTGGATAAATAAAAACCACACCCTCTCCTGAAAGGAGAGAAAATGCTGCTGAGTAAAGAAAAGCGTTTTTAATGTAAACTATAGAAGTCTTTAGAGACCTGTATTTCTCAGTCCTTCATCAAAGAAAGCTAAGCTTCCTGTTGTCATATATACTTTTGCAAAGAAATATGTTGTATTAACATCTTTCAGTGCTAATACTGAGATGTAGACTGCTGAGATCATAATATTGCTGATGCAATTTTGATATGGAATGCTTGGGTTTTAGCAGACAGGAAGTAAAATTGTTAAAAAAATAGGTTGTTCTTTTAAATGCACAATGGATTCTTAGAAACCCAGTTCCAGGCTGTGGCATTATATTTTTTTTTTTTAGTTTGTAACTTCTAAAGCCTTGCATGCTGTTTAAACCGGTGGGTTTTGTCAGTCTTAAAGATACTAGCATAATCAGAAGGATTCCTCAGAAGAAGTCTTTATCTTGACTGGTAATCTGCTACACTGGGCTGGCTGCAAATCTTCATTTTATAGAAAAGCAACAAGTTGATCAGACAGTTCAACCTGACATTACACAGCATTTTTCCCCTTTCTATGTCTGTCTGAGACACTATGGGGATGGCAAGTAATGCTCTTGTTCCCATGTGGCTTCATGCTCTGATTTATCAAACACTTTAAAGAATATTTCAGCTAAAAACTAAGAGACATCTAACCAGCAAGGCTGAAGGTTGGGAGCTGGGCTGCAGTGGCTCGTGTCTAAAGTGCACATTTAAAAAATGTATGATTGTGAATGTAATTATGGAGTGGAGGGAGAGGATGCACATTTGGCAGTTGCTGATGTCAGTGGCACTTTAAAGGGAGCTTTGCTTTATGAAATCTTGCAGAAGTGTCTTACAGGACTTTTCCCTTTGTTCATTTGTCAGAGTTGAAAATGAAATGGAGAAAGTTAATCCCAGAGTACTGACACGTAAATCCATAGTTTCAAAGGATAGTGGTAATCATTGGCTCTTTTCACTAAAGTCTTGGCTCTGAAATACTGTCCAGAATGTTGTTTGGGATAGGATGAGGTGAAGAAGGATGAACTTAACCATGACTTTTAGACTACTGATATTTACTTGGAGTGATCTTTACTTTTCAATAATCTTACCAGTATTGAAAAGCTGCTTTTTACTGTGTTGCTACTTCTTATTTTTTTAATTTTTAATCAGTCATGTATAAATCAAATAGTTACAGCATCCACATTCTAACCCATAGATCTATAACTATATTTTAATGACAGGGACAACTTATTTATTAAAATTACAGATATTTCCTGCATGTTACCATGATACCACCCTTTTGATCATTTTACTTTAGGTCATGAGTTGTTGAATCATCTATTAATTTACTTGCATGTGGCTTTTAATATATTACCTTGTGTGAGTTATCATTTTTAGGTAGTCTTATCTGAAATGTTCTACTCTCTTCCTTCCTGTTTCCATTATGTTAGAGCTAAAGATTAGGTGAGGAAGAATGTCAAAGCTTTATTTTTATTTATAAGTATATGAATATTTTGTTGTACCAGTTGCCTCCTGTACCCATAAAGAAGTTGAAGTATTTCAAAACTCCACAGATAATAATTTACCGACATAAAGACTGCATTTGGCTTTTTAACGTAATAGAAATATTTAATATCTTAGTATTGCTGCATCATATTAGAAATGCTCTTTGCTTTTCCTTCTTTTTTACTTGTGAAGGAGTTCATTTAGGACCAGAAAGGTGTCTTAGGTCACTTCAGGCTACATTAGCACTACCTTTTTTTTGTTTCAGTTACAGGCATGACAGTGTTAAATAAGAAAAATGGTAGATCTCCACGTCCTGTGCCTGTTCCTACTGGTTCCCTCTGGTTTCTTGTTGCTGCTTTTAGGAGATACAGGATTTTAGGCAGGTAAAATGGTAGTGAGAACAACTCTGCCTTGCTTTTCATCACATGTAGATTGACCTTCACTATTGTGTAGCAATTTCTGATCTGAGTTGCTAAGTGGGCAGTAGATACCTAAGGAGTTACTTGCCCTTTTCAAAAATGGAAGATGTAATTTGTTTTCAGTT